TTTTCTCCCATAAGGAACTGAACATGAGCAACGGCGACGGATGGAATTTCTGGAGGACTACCATTGTACAATCAACTACCATCCGGGAAAGGCAAATGTAGTAGCGGATGCCTTGAGTCGTAAAGTGCAAGTAGCAGGACTAATGATTAAGGAATGGGATTTGCTAGAGTCCGTGTGCGAGTGGAAACCCTGTCTGGGGAGTCATAAGGTGATATTTAGCAATGTAAGGGTGACATCCACTCTACTGGAACGTATAAAAGAGGCGCAAGGCAAGGATTTGATGGTACGGAAGTGGAGAGAGAAATTGGAAAAGGGAGAAACTACGGACTTTAATTTGAGTCCCGAGGGTATTTTGAAGTATCGGAACCGAATCGTAGTACCAAAGGATGAGTCGTTAAAAGTAGAAATTCTGGAGGAAGCTCATAGGTCTAAGTACACAATCCATCCGGGTAGCAGCAAAATGTATCAAGACCTGAAAGGAACCTATTGGTGGGACAATATGAAGAAGGAAATCGCGCAATATGTGCAGAAATGTCTTGTTTGCCAACAGGTGAAAGCGGAACATCAAAAGCCATCGGTCTGTTACAACCCTTGGAGATACCCGAGTGGAAGTGGGAGAACATCACCATGGACTTTGTATCAGGTTTACCGAGGACGCAAAGAGGATACGATGCCGTGTGGGTGATCGTTGATCGCTTAACCAAGTCGGCCCATTTCTTGCCGGTGAACATGAAGTACTCAATGGATAAATTGGCTCGACTGTACATGGATGAGGTTGTAAGACTACACGGTGTGCCTGTGAGCATCGTTTCGATCGGGATCCACGGTTCGTATCACGATTTTGGCAGAAATTTCAAGAAACCCTGGGACGAAACTCAATTTGAGCACTACCTATCACCCTCAGACGGATGGCCAGTCGGAACGGACGATTCAGACTCTTGAGGACATGCTACGAACATGTATTCTGGACTTTGGAGGCAATTGGGGTCAGCACATGACCTTGGTAGAATTTGCGTACAACAATAGCTTCCATTCGTCAATTCAAATGGCTCCATACGAAGCTCTCTACGGACGCAAGTGCCGCTCACCGATTTACTGGGACGAAGTAGGTGAAAAGAAAGCACTGAACCCGGCAACCATTCCCTGGATGGACGAGGCTCAGGAAAAGGTCAAGTTAATTCGGCAACGACTTCAAACAGCTCAAAGTCGACAAAAGAGCTACGCGGATAACCGAAGGAAAGACTTGGAGTTTGAAGTTGGAGACTACGTATTCCTCAAGATCACACCCTTACGAAGTCTTACAGCGGGGAAAGGAAAGAAACTCCAACCACGGTACGTCGGACCCTACAAGATCCTTCAGAGGGTTGGAGCGGTCGCGTATCGATTGGAACTACCGTCTGGTCTCTCTCGAATCCACGATGTATTCCACGTCTCGATGCTAAAGAAGTACCATCCTGATCCATCCCATGTATTGCAACGGAGGATGTCGAAGTGGATGAATCACTGGCCTATGAAGAGAAACCAGTCGAAATACTCGATCGAAAAGTCAAAGAACTCAGAAATAAGCGGATTCCGCTAGTGAAAGTGCTGTGGAGGAACCACGGAGTTGAGGAAGCTACCTGGGAGATGGAAGAGGAAATGCGAAAGAAATATCCAAACCTTTTTGGAAATTAAGGTGAGAAATTTCGAGGACGAAATTCTTTTAAGGGGGGGAGAGTGTGAGAACCCGTAAAACCCTAATTATTTTCCTAGGGTTTATTTCCCCTTAATTGCATGTTTTCTGTATTTTCTGGCTTAGAAATATTTTCTGGAGGATTTTATGAGCAATTATAGTTTTAAGATGATTTTTCTAGCATTGGTGAGTTTTTAGAAAATTAAGAATAAATATTGGACGTGGGACCCACTAGTGCAAAAAGTTCGGAAAAATTCGGCCAATAAGGTTAAGTTTCGGATACTGTTAAAAGTTTATCGGGTATTAAGAGATAAGTAGGGTGTGTGAAGTGATTGATGTGAGAGAGAAAAGAATGATAAGGATGCATTTAATAGAGTGACACATGTCACTTTCTTATTGGTTGAACTTTTAAGAATTACTATTCATTGTCTTGACTTATTTGACCAAGGGATTAAATATCCAAAATTCACCAAAAAATCACCATTTTTCTCTCCTTGTTGGCCGGCCACCTTGAGCAAGAAAGGAAGGAGCTTTCTTCAATTTTCAAGCTTCTACTTGGTGCAAATCAACCAAAAATGTTTGCTTCCATCCATTTCACTCCATAAAATTTTCCCTTCTAGAGCTAGTAAGTTGTTTGGTGAACTTTGTTTGAAGGATTAAGGTGCCCAACATCTTCCTCTCTCTTGGGTCTTGGTAAGTGAAGCTTGAAACACTCTACTACACCTAATGATGCTTATTTTGTGCTTAATGGTGGCATGAGGGTTGAAATATATGATTTGTTTCTTGATTGGAGGTGATTTGGTGAAATTTTCCATTTTATGATGATTTTTCTGGTTTAATTGGATTATGATGGTGTGGTTGTTGGTGATGATTGGCAATGGACTAAAATGACTCTAGTGGGTGTAAAATGTGGATAAATGCAATCAATTTTGGATTTGGTTGGAAATTTGAAAAGTTAGGGTTCTTAAATCCCCAATTCTGTCCGGTTCTAGATCACTGGGTTAGAGGCCGAATTTGACTTTTCTCAAAACATGAAAGTTGTAGGTATTGATGTGATTGAGATTCCTGTAAAATTTCAGGTCATTTGGATTAATGTAGAATGAGTTATGACGAAATTACTGTAGCTGTTCTGCCTTGGACAGAATGCGAAAACTGCGATAGTAATTGGCTATTTTGACTGGAATTGGTAAGGATTTTGGAGTTGGTGTCTTCTGATGAAATGTAGCGGAGTGTCTTATCTAACATATGCCTTTGGAATTTCGGCATTTGGACTTGTATGGACTGAGATATACCGATTACAGTTTTTTGTGTTTTGCGCGACCTGTTTTAGGAATTCTGGTTAGTATTTGGCATATTTGACCTAGTTGTGTTACGAACTGGATTGAGTGGTCTTCGACATTATTGTAGCCCTGTTTCATAGCTTCGAAACGGTGGGTCTTACACCCCCATCCGATAACCGTAGAGAATTTGACGCCATTACCGCATAATGAGTGTAAAACAGTTTTCTATTTGGGGCCAAGACTAAGGCCATTTTCTAATTTCTGGTTTGCTATTATGCTTATTTATGCATATGAAACCCTTTTGGGGTTGTGTTTAGCGTTGCTATATGACTCGTTATCGAGTCTCATTGTATGTGTTATATGTTCTAGGGCTTGAAGGTAGTGCACGACGGCTTGGTGATCGTGGTACATGAAATACCACTTACTTGCTTGGTGAGTATACCACTCACTAAATTGTTACTATGTGGCTTTGTTAAATGTTATGTGATGCCTTGATGGCTTACTCGAATATTGAAATTGATTAAGGTGAGGGTGTACTTGACCGCCCTCACCTCTTTTGATATTGTCACTGAATGGCTACCGTTTTATTACATTACTGAACTTGATATATTGGTTGGTGAATTCCATTTCATGGAAACTGAATTGATGTCGTTTGGACGATGTCCAACGGCCTTACTGCATTACTGAGCTCAACCCCGTTTGGTAGTCAATTGGATCGAGCCGGCGAGGGCTTGGTCGTGAAGATTGAATCGCCACGGGGACTGTACTGGGGAACCTTGTGGTAATGAGACCTTGGTTCCGGTAAACTCGAGTATTACCAAAAATATTACTGAATGGAGTGCGGGCCCGTTGGGGTATGATAGGTGGAAGGAATGGAAGTAAAGTGTGGTCTACGGTTTGGTACTTTTAACATTGACGGAGGGTCAATGAGGATGGATCAAGATTGCACGCGTGAAATAGGCTCTTGAGAGCCGACTGTATCCTTTTACCGTTGTACTTCAGTGCTTATCGTGTACTTTAAGTGATTGGCTATGCTTATGTGACTTTGGTTGCTTATGTAGTGGTATACCACTGGGCTTTAGCTCATTCCGTGCCATTTGTTTTCCTTACAGGAAAATGAACACTTTTGGAAAGATTTTGATAGTTGGATGACAAGTTGAGCTCTTGTACATGTAATTTTGTTTAGCTCCTTGAGGGTGATAACCCTAAGTGTATAGCTTTCTTTAATGAAGGTTTGTGTTGGCCTAATTGTATATGTATGAACTAAATGGATACTTTGGTAGGCCGTTTGGCTTGTAAATGTTGATTTCCAATGTATATATATGCTTGGCTGTGATTTGGATGAATTTCGGATTGATACGACTTCAAACGAAAACGGAAAATTTTTGGCGAGGATGAACAGTAGCAAATCCGGCCAGGAATCCGGCCAGAAACTGGCCGGATTGCAGGCCAGATTGCCTGAGGAAAAATTGGAAATCCGGCCAGTTGCATTCGGCCTGGAATCCGGCCAGACAATCTGGCCGGAATCTTGGCCGGATTGTCGGCCGGATTGCGATGAAGTTTTGAAAATTTTTATTTTACTCTCGGCCCAGTATCCGGCCGAGAATCCGGCCGGATTCTGACGTGTACTGCACTATTCACTTCGGCCTCAACTTTCGTTTTTTTTTATTTTGAGATTTTGACTTGTTTGCGCGCATTGCTATGTTCCGGAACGTAATAGATCGACGTAAACTGTACCGTTAGTCCTGGCGAGAGCTGGGCAGGCAGTCCGCTAACCCCTCTGGTTCGCCTTAGGGGAAGGTGGGGCTGTCACAATGCGCCTCTCCCCTTGATGATCCCAAAGAAAGGAATTACAAATCCTGCCCAACCGAGTGAGCACCGCCTTTGGAGGGTCCAACACCTGAAGTAAGTACATAGGCAATGACGCTAGGACATGCCGTGCTAAGACGAGTTTACCCCCAAAGGATAACAACTTAGTACTCCAGTGCCCCAGGCGGGCCCGCATTTTGGATACAATGTCATCAAACAAGACACTCCTCTGCCGGCCTTTATAAATAGGTGACCCCAAATAGGTGAATGGAAATAATTGACGTGAAAACCCAAAATCCTATGCACCACCTCCTCCTGCCTTGAAGTAGCCCTGATGGCAAGAAAAAGGAGCTCTTACTGCAATTTACCCTTTGACCAGAGGCCTCCTGGTACGCCGTAAGAAACCCCTTGATTGCAGTCAGGCACTCCTCCAAGCATCTTGTAAAAATTAGCATGTCATCAGCAAAAGCGAGGTAGGGCACCGGAGTCCCTGACGAAACAAACAACCTGCCCGGTTGACTAACCAGAAGATGATCTCGACCTAAAAACTCGGCAATTAATACAAAAAGGGCAGGAGACACCGGGTCCCCCTGCCGAAGCCCCTTTGAGGACTTAAAAAATCCCGCAGCCTCCCCATTGACCAATACTGAAAACCAATTATTAGACACCAGACGAAAAATGATGTCTACCACCTTTTCCTCAAAACCAAACTTTCGCAGCATAAACAAAAGAAAAGGCCACTCGACCCTGTCATACGCCTTTTCCATATCCAATTTCAGCATGAGATTCGGGTGCTTCAATCGCCGATCTAAATCTGCCACCAACTCTTGCGTGAGAAGAATGTTGTCCGTGATTCCACGGCCTGGTACAAAGCCAGTCTGCCAGGGGTCCACTAAAGCAGGAAGAACCCTACCCAACCGATCTGAAACGATCTTAGAAATAATCTTTGAGCAGACGTTGCACAAACTGATTGGTCTGAAGTCCTTCCATTGCGTGGCGCCCGCAACCTTAGGAAGGAGAAGAATAGAAGTGCTAGTAAAACTCCTAGGTAAACGCATACCCTGGAAGAACGCCTGAACCGCCTCCAACAAATCAGACTTGATAATATCCCAACAAGCCTGGTAAAAGCCAGCCCCAAACCCATCAGGTCCCGGAGCACTATCTGCCTGTAACGCAAAAACCACCCCCTTCAATTCTTCCATGTCAGGTGGCGCACTTAACATGGCATTGTCCGCAGTAGCCAAATGTGGGAGCGTAAAAGGAAACCCCGGAGCTTGCCATCCATGTTGCTCAGAGGCTAACAAAGAAGCAAAGAAGTCCACGGCTGAATGCTTGATGTCTTGGATATGCTCCACCCATGTTCCCGACTGATCTTTAATGCGAGCCATAAAATTAAAGTTGCGACGCTGACGGCATCGAGAATGAAAAAATGCCGAATTAGCATCCCCCACCTGCAACCATCGGATGCCAGCCTTCTGTCTCCAATACTCACATTCCCATGCCAGGCTCCTCGCATAAACCGCCTTGGCCTCCTCCAGCGCTGATCTGGAACCCGAGTCCCTCTCAATGTCATATTGCTCCTCCCGTTGTTTCAGAACAACCTCTGCCTCTCTGACCCTGTTAAAAATATTGCCAAAAACCTGACATTCCATCCACCCAGGCAACCCTTAACTGCCCGCAGTTTTTGATTAAATTTCGTCATACCGTCACCCCTCACCGGCATCACCCAACCCTGCTGTACCACTTCCATGAAACCTGAGTGCCTCCGCCAGACATTCAGAAATTTAAATGGACGTTTGTTAGGACTCCCATTCTGGCAGCTAATCAACAGTGGAGCATGATCCGAACGACCTCTGCACAAATGTGAGACATGAGAGAACTCATACCCAACAGCCCAATCCTGATTCATTAAGGCCCTATCCAAGCGCTGCCACACCCTACCATTCGTCCATGTGAATACAGTACCATCGAAAGGCACCTCCGTCAAACCACAATTGCCCAATTGAATCATTAAATTCGTCCATGTTTCTTTCATTGGCCGGGGAACCTCCGATGCGCTCCTCCATACTGGAGATGACGTGAAAATCTCCTGCTAGTAACCAGGCGCCAACAATTTCACCTGCCAAAGCACACCCATTGCTGACAACAGATCTCGTCGCTGCCACCCTAGTGCACCGAGCATATACTGCCGAGAATTGAATAGAGCACCCCGAGGAGAAGGTGACGTGCATGTGAAGGAGTTGTTCTGCCAGTTCCTTGAAATTCAACGCCATGTCATTGTACCAATAAACCCACACCTTATTATTCAATGCTCCCAGAGCACTATCAAACCCAAGTAACCGTCGGACCACCTCAAGTTGAGGAGTATCCGACAAAGGTTCCAGCAACACCAGCAACCTTATTTTATTAGTTTTGCAAATCTTATGTAAATATCTAAGCAATCCCGCCGGAAGCCGAAGCCCACGATATTCCAAACCACAGACTTAAAGGGACTTAACATGAGACTGTAAAGAGTAAGGATTCTGCGATTGGAGATTTACCTGATTAAGAATTGCCTTAGCAGACCGGCCCCCCTTCCTCGTAGCTGCTGGCTGGTCATTCGCCGCGACCTCCTGCTGCTTCACCTTCTCCAACCCATCCTGATCAAAAACCTGGCCTCTCCTCCTGGCTCAACGACCTTGCGTTGAAGCAACAAGCCTGTGGAACTGTTTAGCTGGTCCCTCGACACCAGATCCCCGGTTTATCCCCGTCCGAGCAAAGACGCCTATGCCTCTGGCTGTGGTGTCCGCGCATGACTCGCCGACCTGGACGGGTCACGCTCAAAATCCTGCACCTCCATATCCGATAATGAGTGCAGCATGTGAGGCCCCAGTCCGTTCGCAAGTTGATATTAGGGTTATTTGATATTCGGTATAGAAAAAAATCAGGGTTTTATGACTAGGAAGGAAACCCTAATTCGGTTGAGCTTGAAAATCCTAGTTTACGTATTATGATTATAAGGTTCAAGCTATAGTTTATATTTTACTCTAGTGGTTGTGCCTTGACATAGGTAAATATAGGATTTGTTTTAATTACAAAGGTTTAGTAAGTTTGAATGATTAGCAAACCTCTAGTGTTATTATATTAGAAAGCTTAAGTGGAGTTTATTTATCGCCCGCCTTTTCCACATTTTTCTTTATGAGAAAAGTTCCCCAGATAATTTTTATGAGTAATTATAGTTTTTAGATGATTTTTCTAGTATTGGAGAATTTTTTAGAAAATTAAGAATATATATTGGACGTGGGACCACTAGTGCGAAAAGTTCGGAAAAATTCGGCCAATTAGGTTTAAATTCCGGATACTGTGTAAAATTTATCGGGTGTTAAGAGATAAGTAGAGTGTGTGAAATGATTGATGTGAGAGAGAAAAGAAAGGATAGGAATGCATTAATGGTGATACAAGTGTCACCATTTCATTGGAGAAGACTTATGAATTATTATTTCATTTTTTGACTTTTGACCAAATTGGTTAAATATCTAAAAAAATTACCAAAAAATCACCATTTTCTTCTCCTTGATGGCCGGCCCTTCCTTGAGCCAAGAAGAAAGAAATACTTCACCATATTAGCTTCCATTTGGTTCAATCTTCCAAAAACAATTGCCTAGATTGGATTCTACTCCATAAAATCCTACCACTTGGTGCTAGTGAGTGCTTTAGTGAAGTTTTCTTGGAGAGCTAAGGTGGTCTACAACTTCCTCTCTCTTGTTTACTTGGTAAGTGATGCTAAACTTCCTCCTACACCTAATGATGTTTATGTTATGCTTAGAAGTAGCTTGAGTGATGGAATATGTGATTTATTTCTTGATTTGAAGAGTTTTAGTGAAGTTTTCCATTTTATGATGAATTTTCTGGTTTAATATGAATGGGATGTTGTGGCCTTGTATGATGAATGGTAATGGTTTAAAATGACTCTAGTAGGTGTGAATTGTTGATAAATGCAATCAATTTTGGATTTGGATGGAAAAATGGAAAGTTAGGGTTCATAATCCCCTAATTCTGTCCGGTTTTAGATCATAGGGTTAGGCCGAATTGGACTTTTCTCAAAACATGAAAGTTGTAGGTATTGATGTGTTTGAGGTGCCTGTAAAATTTCAGGTCATTTATATTAGTGTAGAGTGAGTTATGTCAGAATTACTGTAACTGTTCTGCTTTGGTCAGAATGCAAAAACTGCGTTGGTATTTGGCTATTTTGGCTGGAATCACTTTGGATTTGGATGTTGGTGTCTTCTGATGAAATGTATCTGGATGTCTTAGCTATCATATGCCTTTGGAATTTTGGCATTTGGACTTGTATAGACTGAGTTATACCGATTACAGTTTTGTGTGTTTTGCAAACCTGTTTTGGTAATTCTGGTTTAGTATTTTGCATATTTGACCTAGTTGTGTTAGGATTTGGACTGAGTGGATTTCTACATTGTTGTAGCCCTGTTTCTTAGCTTCTAAACGGTGGGTCTTACACCCCCATCCGATAGCCGTAGTGAATTTGGTGTCATTACCGCATATTGAGGTCAAATACGGTTTGTGATCCTGTCTTGCGATTCTGGTATAGTGTCTTGCATTTTTGACCTTGTTACATTCAAAATTGGACAAAGTTTCCTTCTTCAACATTGTAGCCCCTTAAGTCCTGGATATTCCTGTAAATTTTCAGGTTAAACGGATTAGTATATCCTGAGCTATAAACGAAATACTCAGACCTGTTTTGACCATCAAATTCTGTTACGTTTTTGGAAAGTTTATGACTGGAACTTTGGCTTCACATTTGACTGGGTTACATGCTGTTTGGGCTTGTGACCAAAACACCAAACTTATAGCCTTATATCAGAGCTTTCTAACCCTTGGAATTTCATGAATCGGATTTATAAAACCTGAGATATAGCCGAGCAAATAAGGCCTGGCCGTGAAGATGACCATTTTCTGGTCAGATCTGTTTTGGTCCTGATGACCAATTTCCGTTCCGAATTTGGATTGCCGACCTTCATGAAAGTTGTTCAATTTGAAATGAACTATCTAACTACCAATTTTCAGCTCTTTTGACCATGTGTAGCATAGAAAACAGTTTGCACTCAAAACTGACCATTTGTGCATTGGCCAGATTTCGTAAGTGATTGTGTTTGGTTCATTTGGGACTGAAGCCTCCAGTTTCAGTTCTGGATGTCTTCATAACAGTTGTTGTTCATCCTTTAAGCTTCGATATGGCATCTTATACGCCTTAATCCGATATTCATAGCTGAACTTATGAGTAAACTAGAAACGAGTGTCAAATCTGCCGTTTCCGCTAACGGCCGTTTCCGTTTCCGTTCGTCATATTTACGTGCGCGCGTGTCGTTTTGCCGTTTTGCTTGTTTTAGGCACGATAGTAGCCGTTTGCGATATTATGTGACACAATCTTCTATTTCAGACGGTGGTGAGCTGGGCGGAACTGGTGGGGCCCACTACTAGCTGTTCATTTCGATCCAACTTCGTACTTTTGCTATTTCAGTTTCTGGGTAAGTATTCAGGCCACTCTTATGTGTTAGTTGCTTATGTGTTTTGACATGTATGAAGAGGGTACTTAGGCGAGGGTGTACTTTATCGCACTCGCTCTAAACCCGAATTTACGCACATATTTGTACATGACATATGTATGTGAATCATTTTGGAACTAAAACCCTTGAGCTTGTGGCTCGGGGTGATTTTGAATAATTTTGTGAAGTTTGTGAGTTTGGGGCGATCTCTTGACCTAGATGGACTATTCGAGCCGGTTAGGGCTTGGTCGAAGTCAGTCCAACCTGGTTGGAGGTCACCAAGTTTGTGAATCCGATTCACCGAGTATGTGGACCAAGTTTGTGACCCGAGCTTGTGACTCAAGCTCAAGTTTGTGATTTCGTTCGTCCGGACAAGTTTGTGAGGTGACTGGCCAGGGAGGGTGATAAGGTGTCGGTGGGTGTACAAGTGAAATTCTACGGACCATTAAGTGTGGTCGACGGAGTGTCGGCAGGAATTCACGCATGGCATATGAATTGGCTTTGGAGCCACCTGTATCCTTATTATGTGATGTTACTTTTCTGCTTTTGCTTTACTCTTACTGTGTAACTGTTATTACGTGAAATTTACGCTTTCGCCCCTGTTTACTTACTAAGCATATAGCTTACCCCATTCCTTTTGTTTTCCTTAGCAGGGGCCGACGCGGGGACTTTTGGCACACACAGTAGTATAGTTAGGTTTGATTGTAACAGTTGGACTTATAGTATGTTTGTTTTTGTTTTAGTTTTGGTGGTTGTATAAGGACCCTCCTTAGGGTCTACATTTTTTGTTTTGGTGGTAATTATAAGGATGTAATAGTGTGAGCAAGTACTTTTGACAATGTAATTATAACTCTTTTGGGTTTGTATATAGAACTCTTTTGAAGTTTCTGGCTTTTATTGTTTTAAGTTTTGAGTCCTGGCGCGAGTTAGGCAGGCGGCCCACCGATACCCTTGGGTTCGCCCTTGGAGAAGTGGGTGGTCGTCACAGTTGGTATCAGAGCCTGCTTCGCTTGGTCTCTGCGCGGAGTGAGCTTGGGCTGTGTGGTGAATGGGTATGAAGGATTAAGTGCTCTTCAATCCTTGTCATGATATCTAAGGACCATAGATAGGTATGTCGGGTAGGAAGTTCGATTTGTAGATGGTTTACTCTTGGGACTGGCCAGCTCGAGATGTGAACTATCGTATTTCGGATTCTTGTGCCCGAATACTCCAGAATTGAGGCGATGCAAGCTACTAGGTACTTGAGACTTGTATTTTGGAAACATGAACAGGCTTTGTCTGACTAGAATGAGCACAAAAAGGTCAATGGACATCTAGTTTGGATAGTAAGGGACGTGAGAGATCAGACGGGCTGATACTGGGACGACTTCACCTTTTCCTTTTGGTTCGCCCGTACATTACGACCACCTAACGTTAGTATATGTGTTTGTGTACATGGTTATCTGTCCAACTTGATATGTATTTGTATACTTGCTTGTCCGTCTTTTGATATGGCGTGTTATGTGCGATATGTTATTTGTGTAATTGGTATGTTGGATTTTGTTATTGTAGTCAATTTACTGCATACATTCATTAAAGTACCCATTTGGAAAGAAAAGAGAGAAAGAAGGGAAAACTATATATATATGTATATATGTGGAAGGAAGACATAGTTACGGACATGGTCATAGCTGTGGAACAAAACGAGGCGAGAGTCAAGAGAGGAAAGGGAAGAAACAATAGCTGAACGAAACATGGACCGAGAGTGCCACTTGTGTTCAAAAATTGATTATGACCCATTGTTTTGCCCGACAGGCTACCATCTGTGTTCCAGCAATTTTGTGAGATGGCACATTGGGTTGAGATGTATAAGGAAATCGCGGTTCTTCAAGACGAAATAGAAGTCCAAATGAAACTAGTCGCATACTGGGAAGGGCGATGGAAGCACGAGTATTCAGAGAAAATTGAGCTCTTGCACAAGAACTTAGAGCTAAAAAGGAAATACGAAGGGATTTCCGGGGAGGCCTTAGCAATGGCACAGAGCACTACTTCTATGGGGGTTCCAGAGAAAACTCAAAGGACAGAAATTTCAAGGCCGCAAGTGAAGACCTTCCATGCAAAGAAAAGGAGCGCATCTCTTGAGAGTCAAAGGCCAGAACCGAGTAAGCGAGGTAGGTCATCTGCTAAGAAGGGTCGTGGAGCGGGTGGTGTGACAATTTGTGGTTATTGTAGAAAATCCAATCACATTGAAGTGAATTGTTGGAGAAAGAGGAGGAGATGTCTGCGCTGTGGGAACGCCAAGCATCAAATTGGTAAT